ATTTTTTTTTATGAAAGTACTCAAAAGATACACAAAGTGGGTAAGATGAACAAAAGCCTTGACTTAAGCTAACTTTCTTTTTCAAAAGTAGAAAGACTGCCATTACAACTACACCAAAAGATCAGAATATCCAGAGGCAAAGCTCCAGTTCATACTTGTTATTTTTTTTTCTTACAAATACCACTTTAAAACAGCCACAGAAGTGAAAACCTCTAATTCACAAAATATAACGTCACATATTACTGAATGTAGTTACCATTAGATGTATTAGCAGTAGAATGCCCACGATCCAAAATAAAGGTATCTCCCCAAGGCAGATGCATGATTCAGGTATGACTGGGCCAGATGCACTGGCCCCAATTGGATTCTTCAACAGATTTGCTCAATGGACAAACTAATTAATCTTAGATAGGCTATCATAGAAAAATGGAGTATGTTAGGAGTAATCAGAATCCTTGACAAATGCACCATATGCTCTTTAATCTTTCTTCTCACTATCTGTTACAGAACAGACACCCAGAACAGATGGTATGAAGAGTACAGCTATGACATATCTTCACTATGAATGCACTAGACAATATGGAAATACTATGACTTAAGTCACTCAACCTGCTGGGGGCAACCTAACGAAAGAATATCAAATGTGGTACAGCCTCTTCTATGCTAAATAATGGGTTGGTCATTAAAGTTAAAAGAAACAATGGAAAGACAAATGGGTTATTTGGATTGGATGAGAAAGAATTGACAGTAAAATGAGTCAATAAATTTAATCCTAGATGAATATTTGACAAATTATGCTAAGCTAATTCTAGGTAATACAAGTAATATTCAAAATAGAACCTATTGCAATCTAAAATCCTAAAAATGAGTAATTGTCTCCTGTTCTCAAAAAAGCATCATCTCCAAATATTCTACAATGACATCAATGTTTCCTTCAGTTTTTACAATTATACACATGCAAATAAATAATTACAACCTTTTTAAATGTCCCAGATTAAAGATAATCATATCGCCAAATTTAAAAAACTTAATATTCATTGTGACTGTATGTGTTTGAGATGTACGTGCAGCATACAAGAGGTCAGAACAACTTGTAGGACTCAGTTCTCATTCCACATTATAGGTGCCAAGGATCAAACGAAGTTGTCAGGCATGGCAGCAAATGCCTTTACTCACTGAGCCATCTCACCAATTTTTAAAGTTTGTAAGTCAATTTATAATTTTGAATGAACTGTACATTTATAAACCAGGGAAGGATGGGGCAAGAGAGGGAGAATTTCTCACCCCAACACTCTATATTCCAATATTGCAATTATATCATTTTAATGTATTCTATTTTTATGTTATTACACGAACAATCATTTTTGAAAAATATTGTACCTAAGAGACAAACCATTCTTTACCTAACCAATTTTACATTTATAAAAATTTAGACACTTTTCAATATTTGCTATAAAGCAATGATAGACTGAATGTGATTTGCAAAGTTTTTCACTTCTCCATTCATAAGCAACCTTATATAGTATCTCCGGATAATCTAAAGATTATCTTCATCATAGTCCTAGCTAGAGTATATATAAGCTTAGGCTGGTTCACCTTAATCTTCTTAACCTTTGGCTCTTCTCTTTTACATAACTATCTGATTCATTTAAAGAGGTAACTTCCCAATGGAGATGTAACTGACCTGGAAGCCTTCCCCCTGAACACCAGCTCTCATAGTTCTACAGGATACTATGCAAACTAATAAGGGAGAAAAAAATCAATCAATTCTCCAGTCCATCTGTAAAATCTAATAACCACGACTGGCACAACAAACTATCTCTATTGATGCAGTAGTGGCACTTTGATCTAGGAGGTAATCAACAGCTAATTGGACTTAAAGCAGTATCAATGGGAGGCAACTCAAGGGTAGTACTGTAAATATAGCCAAATACACAGGCTGGAGAGGTCACAGATCCCAGAGAAAGCCCTGTCATATCTATAGACAAATGAAATTTCTTTCTGTACGCTAAATATGGATCCTTATATTTACAGACAAGTATATTGTACACCACTGATCAAAGAAGCTTCTTTTTGCAACAGATGAAGGCTATTACAGAGTTCCACAACTGGTCACACACAGAAAATATGTCTGTGAGATGTCCTAAGTGACACATCTACAGTGGAATCTCTACACCTAAGGCTCATGAAACACAGCAGAACAGGACATAGAGAGAACACTAACACATTCCTCAAGTCTCAACAGTGAAACCTCCTTATACAACAGTGTGTGATGCACAGAGAAGGCCTTAACGGACAAAGTTTTAGAGAGCAAGAGACTGTATAGTATGTAACCCTGGATAGGACTCCTATACTAAACCTCACCTACCCATGGCTCAGGGACCACTGATGAAGAAGGGAAAGAAAAATTGTAGGAGCCAGGGTTGGTACATGAACATAGGGAAGCAAAGGCTTCCAGGCCTCTGGGAACTTGCTTATGAACTTGTGGTGACAGCATGCACAAGAGCCATTATGACTCACTTAGACAAAAACTAGAATGGGGGAAGTGGGCAACAGGTTCCAACCCTAGCCAAGGACTATTGGCAAATGATTACTGTGGGGTAAGTGAGAATAGATCTTCTTTATCTTCTTTGAGTAAGTGACTCTAGATATGATGACTCCAGTGGATGGACTTGCACAGAGGGACATCTGGGTACAAAAGCTTGACTGGTGCTGGGCATGGTGGTATGCCTTCTATCCCAGCACTCTGGAGGCACAAGGAGGCCAATTTCTGTGAGTTCCAGGCTAGCTGGGGCTAGCCTGTCTCAAAAAGACCAAAAAAAAAAAAAAAAAAACCAAAAACCCCACAATGCTTGACCAGATAGGACTTAACATATATGATAGAATAATGATAGAATACCTAAAATATGGTGGGGGGTGGATGGGAACATGTGGCAAGGGAAGGGGTTTAAATTTGATTAAGATCTATTATAGGAAATGCACAAAAACTCAATACAAAATTTTAAAAGTTAGTTTTCTATTGCATTCATACAACCTCAATGCTATGTTTCCATGCTCCTCTTATGCTGTCTTCATGAATGAAACATCATTTTTCCTTCTGTACTTCTCTTTTGGTTTATTAAGTCAGTCCTACTATGTAGTCTATGACAGCCTTGAGCGCACTAATCCCCCTCCTTCAGCTACCCAAATGTTGGTATCACTGGTGAGAGCCAGCATACCTAACTTTGTTCTTTATGCAAAACTAATGCTTCTAGGTCCTTCAAAAATCCAATATTCATAGTCAACTTATAAGTAACAGAGAATTCATGATTCAATATTTAATTTTACAGGTAATAATTTTACTATGCCACAAAAAGTTGGCTTAATAACTCAGTGTTACAAAAATTTATTTTTCTGTCTAGGCATGGTGGTTGCACAGGCAGATCTCTGTGAGATCAAGGTAAGCCTAGTCTATAGTAGGGACCCTACCCAAAAAAAAAAAAAAAAAAAAAAAACTTAAATTTTCTAATAAACATAGTTTAATTTTAATCCTGTTTTTAAAAATAACAGATACTTGGGTCTGGAGAAATTGCTCAGTGGTTAGAAGAGCTGGATGCTCTTGCAGAGGACCTGGGTTCCATTCCCAGCACCCACATGGCGGCTAACAATCATGGGATCCCACACCCTCTTCTGGTCTCTGTGGGCATTGCACAACATGTATACACTTACACACATACAGGCAATACACTCATATACATGTAATAAACCAATAGACAGCATATTGAGCATGCAGTGTTCCTAAAAACAAATTGTCCACCAATAAATCAAGTCTCCAAAATTATCAGACAATTCAAAGAGTAATTGGATGTAACTAGAAATGCCAGATATTCCTAACAACTGAAATACAGGTAACTCAGTAACTCTTTCCTCTCAGCATCCTATATTTGATTATAAAGGCCATAAAGTGTAATGGCAAGATATGTTGTCTTTATTTTTAACATCAACGTAGTATATTTTAACATTATTCTCAACTGGTTCACTACTCAAAAACACAGCAGGTTTCTCTACTAATGCACATAATTTACCTGCAAATCCAGTCAATTTTAAAGACACCTCCAAGCATTTTAGCACTCATTCCTGCTGGAAGTACCCAGTGTATAGGTGATCCACCATGATGTGACTCTGAAGACAGTCTGGCAAACCCTAAGGGAATCATAATTATTACCAAATAGTATGCAGGTTGCTAATGTAATTAGTAAGTGTTATAGTGTTATATGCCAAAAATAAATTATTTTTCTTACCTTGAAATTTTCCACTTTCTCTGACAGAAAATATTAAGATAACACTCCTTGCAGATCTGATAGCAAGATTTAATTTCTTCTCATTTACAGGTAATATGGACCACACACCCTACAGAAATAATGTAAATAATCACAAATTGAAATGCACATGTGTTGGGAGCCTCTGTTATACAAAGTCGAAGCCCCTTCACACCGGAAAGCTCATGCAGCTCGGGAATTATGTGCTGAGGGCTCCTTTCATAGCGGGGTGTCTTCCTGGCATCTTTCCTGTCTCTCCTTTTGAAGTGTCCGCCACAAATGCCATAACATAAACATGGCCTTTGGCTCTAACAGGTACCATGCCTTCCTGTAATTTTTCCTAGCAGACAGCAATCTGGCAGAAACCCACTTCCATATGTAAATACAATGCCTCACAAAGCATCTAACAGCCAAAGCTTTTACCACTACCCCCATGGTATAAATGCCTTAGTCTTCTCTTAATGGTCAGAGAACTGGGTCGCAGAGAGCTAGGACACAGAGAATTGGGTTGCAGACAATAAAGCTGTAACACAAACTAAGTCCTGAGTCTTGTGTCACTACCTGCAGCCCAATCTCTCCAGGGGACGCACTCCCTTGTGACCGGCTTACAGACATTCTAGCTTTCACCATCTCCGTACTCTTCCCTGCGTGGTTCTGTGGCCAGGAACCTTGCATCCTGAGGAATAGTACACGGGTGAAATAGAGACGGGATTTCGGCCGAACAATGCTTCAGTAGCAGAGGAAGCTCCAGAGACACGCCCAAGCCACAGGGAAAAGCCTGCAGGGCACCCGCTGCTCCCAGAGAGCCGCAGCCAGAGACGCCTGTGGCCAGACCCGCCAACGACTAGCCAGGTGTGGCAGGGGCCCTGAGATCCAGGGGCCCAGAGCGACCCGGAGATATCCACGCACACCATGCCTGAGGCCCATAGAGACACGGAGAAGCCAACGGGACCAGACCAGCTTTCCTCCAGACGCTGGGCGGGAGAGCACCCACACACCTGCGGATCAGCCCTGTCATTCCGAGAGTGCGCGCAGAGACCTGCCTGCGCCCAGAGAGAGAGCGCATCCCCCATACACATGTCCATAGCTATATTGACAAAGACCAAAACTACTGATTTCACTGTCTGAAATTTAAGAAAGCTATAATAAAAGCCATTCACTGGTTATAAAAATTATTGGAAATTATGTGGAAAAATAAGCAGAAACCAGCAACTTTACAAAATCATTAATTCAATCAGTAAACAAGGAGACAGTATCAGGCAAATATTTATGGGCTAGAATTCAGTAAAATTAACTGTAAAAGATTAGTAGTAAAGCCATAAACTAAGAATGTCAAAATTCTAGTGGCTCTTATTTTTTTTTTTTTTTTGGTCTTTTTGAGACAGGGTCTCCCTGTAGCCCTAGCTGTCCTGGAAAAATTCTAGTGTTTTAAGTGCAAAGTTTTTTATTTAAGTTGAGGAGGCCTCTGTTTTTTCCTAGAACTGGAATGGAATTATTGACCACAAAATATTTTAACCAGTTCATAATAAAATAGAATGGTAAGGTGAAGATAGAGAAATTCTGCTTTTCCTCACACTCATCAGCTGTCTGTTCATTCACACTACAGTGCTTAGTTACTTACTGCAGCCTAACCCCAGGAGAGATAAGGAACAGAATGCAACTAGCTAGGCTCTTACTTGCTACCTTCTATTTGTAGAGTTTTATGAATAACTACCAACCTAAGTTAGAAATACAAACTATCAATATTGACTGAAATATGGTTAAAAAAATGCGTAACATTCTGACAAGCAGCTGAAAATATTCCTCTGTTTAAGACTGAAAATATTTAATAGCTGGCATAAAACATAAATGCACTTTTATTTCCTCAAAATCCTGCAGTAACTCCTTTTGGTAGTCTGGGGTGAGCCTTTAAAGCTAATACTCTCTTTTCCATATATATCATTAAGAGATCTTACTTTTAAAGAATGAACTCTCCATAAAGAGAGTTCATTTCAAAAGGAACTTTTGAAAGGCTTCTTTTCAAAAGGAACTCAAAGTACAAAACAATCATCAGTATAA